GAGAACAATAGTAATAGTAGAGAGGAGGAAGGAAAGTTTTGGGATATACTTGCCCTATTACCCTTTATTGTTACAGAAAGTATTTTCGAGAAGCCTAGCCACATAAAAACTAGAAAACTAAATATGCTGAGTGATGGTAATCCTATGATAGGGGGAGAAACACTACAAAATGCTCCTAAGGAATGAAATAAAGAGCTTTTGGTTTATTCGAAAAGGAAACATCAACACAAGAGCAAAGTTCAAGCACAATCGGATTAGATTATGATCGATCCAATAGTAGAAAACACTCGAGCCAATCAAATTCCTCGAAAAATGAACCTAATAAATCTAGTAATGACTCTTCTACTATTGTTAACTCTGATCCCATTCCTATTCCTAATCCTATTAATGAATTTGATGATCCTTCTATTGACCTTTATTGCCTATAACTCTTAAGAAAGGAAAGAGGTTTTACACTAATCACCCTCTTCCAAACATGTGTCATATGGTAAGTTGTCTCAAACTCATAGCTCCTATGTATCTAAGGTTACTAACTCTGTTTATCCCAAGAGATATCTAAGAGGCACTAAATGATCTAGACTAAAAGGCGATGGAGGAGATTCGAGCTCTTGAGAAGAATGAAACATGGGATCTTATCAATTCTCCTAAAAGGCATAAATTGGTTAGGTGTAAATGGTTGTTCACATTCAAGTTTAGAGTAGATGGCAGTGTTGAAAGAAGAAACGAGGTTGAGTAGCTAAAGGGTTCACACGTACATATAGGGTTGATTATCGGAAGACCTTTGCTTATGTGGCTAATATCAACATAATAAGAGTTCTCTTGTCCATGACAATGAATCTGGATTGGGGCCTACACCAACTAGATGTGAAATATGCATTCCTAAATGGATATTGAGAAGAAAAACTATTCATGAGTCTTACTTCAAGATATGAAGGTTTTTATGGGCCAAATAAAGTATGCAAGCTGAAGAAATCTCTCTACGGCTTGAAACAGTTTCCTAGGCTTGATTTGACAGGTTTAGAGAGCAGTGAAAGGCCGGGATATTATCGAGTCAAGCAGACCATACCATGTTCTATAAGAGATCTCAAAAAGGTAAAATGGCTATCCTTATTGTTTATGTAGATGACATCATTATAACTAGAGATGACATTGAGGAAATAAGGAGGTTAAAGGAGAAACTATCACGGGAGTTTGAACTGAAAGATCTTAGCCCTCTAAAATATTTTTGGGAATGGAGTTTACAAGGACTAAAAATAGGATATTTGTGAACCAAAGGAAATATGTCCTGGACCTTCTAAATGAAACAGGGTTACTAGGATGCAAGGTCTGTAGAGACTCTAGTAGCTAATGTAAAGTTAAAACTCGCCAATCCCGAAGATGTAATTGACAGGGAAAAATTCTAGAGGTTAGTGGGGAAACTAATCTACCTATCTCACACTAGACTTTACATAACATTCGAAGTAAGCATGCTTAGCCGGTTCATGCACTCACCTAGCCAACAACACTTTGAGGCTACCTATAGAATCCTAAAGTACCTAAAGGGAACACCGAAGCAAGGCTTGATGTTTCAAAAAAGAAATAATCTTTAAGTTGAAGTGTATATTGATGCTGACTAGGTTAGAAATGTGAAAGATAAAAGGTCTTTATTAGGTTATTGTACTTTTATTGGAGGAAACCTAGTGACTTGGAGGAGTAAAAAGCAAACTGTGGTTACAAGAAGCGAGTGTAGAAGGCTGAGCTAAGATTTTTAGCAAATGGAGTATACGAAGCTATATGGATAAAACGCATCCTTGATGAATTAGAGATTCCAATCATAAAGTCTATGAAGGTTTATTGTGATAACAAGGCTGCTATCTCTATTGCTCATAACCTTGTACTATATGACATGACCAAACATATAAAGGTAGACAAGCACTTTATTAAAGAGAAGATTGAAGATTGATCGATATGTATTCCCTATGTTCCTACATCTCAATAGGTGGGAGATATTCTCACTAAGGACCTATCTACCACTTAGTTCAATGTATTAGTAAACAAGTCGGCTATGGAAGATATCTTCAAACCGAGCTTGAGGAGGAGTGTTGGTAAATTCAAGTTAGGAAAAGTCAAATAGGACAATTACCTTCCTAAATTTAATCCTAGAAGAAAGCTAAGCTATCTCTTGTAAATTAGCCAATTAGCATATTTTGTATAGTTGTAGTTTCCTATTATAGTTATACATCTATCCTATATATATGTATATCGTAGTACTCAAGAAAATATAGAAGAATTACACTCCAATAGGTATTCTTCCATAAGTCTTTATTTTTCCTATACTAAGATAGTTCTACAATGTGTTTTAACAATCTTATACTATACACAAAGTCCTATGTAATTTAATTTTGATAAAAGATGAAAATATAAATGATATTAATTAGTTGTAACTTCAAATTGTTTGAATCACAAATGACTATAATTAATGAACAAATCAAAATTACTTTTGTCCATATAATAAATCATTTATGTATAGTGGGCATTTGTATTATGAAATTTAAGAACTCCTTAACATTTTTAAATTATCTTAAAAATGTTAAAAGAGGTTAAAGCGTAGAGTAAATGAAAATCAATAAAAACTAAATAATTAATGATTTTTCATTCATGTTTGCATATATGAGGAAATATTTCATATTAATGAATTGGAAAAAAATGTTTTGAAACACAGATTGCATAGTTTATATTGTATGAGTAAAAAGAATTTTGATTGTTATCTAACACACCACACTCTAATAAATGACAAGGTCTCGATAAAAAGAGATTTGGTGTTCGATCATTTATATATAACATTTGTAATTAACACTATTTTGAACTTCTTATATATAAGAAAATATATTAAGTTAGATGAAGGGTTGAAAAATGAATTTGGTAAAAATTTGGGCCAAGATAACCTCCTACGAAATTGCGGTCATCCTAGATGGAAGACCGAGCCAAAGTAGGCTCAACCAAAAATGAAGGAACAAAGGAGAATATAGTCCTCATTGTAGGCTAGTCCGTAATGTCATGGCACTAGCTCATTGTTCACTCATTCGAAAATTCAAGTGGCATGATCCACCCTTAAGATGATGCCTTGTCATCTTTATAACCATCTTTGACCATGAGGTCTGCCACATCTTGATATATAGCAAAAGTGCAATAAATATTCTATTTGACAAGGTTTTTTATTTAACGACAATGAAACCATCCCAACTCCAGCAAACAAAAGCACTACGGATGGGCATAGAAAAGGGGTAATTTCATGTGGAAGGAACCATATAAGTTCTTGTTATGCCAGTGTACACCTTAAAGACATCAACATATTGCCAATCTTTACGGTTGTGAAGATGTATCTAGAGTATAATGCTATTTTTAGGAGACCTCTTATATACAAGATATTTGTTGTGAATTATACTTGAATTTTACCACTCTAAAAAGAATTTCCATAATCAAGGACAACCAATTTGAAAGAGAAAGTGCCACATCAAAGCGCTAAAAAAAGCCTCATGAGGACAAGAAGCGATTACATCAAAAGATAGCGAGGTTTTGAGATGCGAGACAAGGATTTTGCTATGGCCGTAATGTTAAGGGCCTTATAAGATGTACATAATCACTAGAACTCTCTTAAAATTTTGCAATCAAGTATATATATGATATTAACTAAAGTCTTCGGTAATGTAAACTCTACTAAAACGATTGTAGTTATATCCTCCAAAGGATAGTAGGCCAAATTACTAATGAAAGAAAGACCATGACCATATCCTTAAAAGGATAGATGACTAAATTTCATGAGAAAAGTCCACGACCATATCTTTCTAAGAATGATGGACCAAAACCCCTTAAAGATTCACGGCCACTCTCTTAAAGGGACATCGAGCCAAATTACCAATAGAAGAATTCACGACTATATTTTTGGAAGGATGGATGACCAAATCCTATAGAAAGAGTCCATGCCCATACCATTCAAAAGTTGGATGACCAAACCCCATAAACAATTTTATAACTACACTCTCTAAAAGCATACAAACATGCACTTTTTCTTCAAAAGGTTAGACATGATATCCTTCCTAAAATAATTTGCTTACTTGCTTGCCATCTACTTAAGAAAAATATTTTCCCATTAAACACTAGTTTCTCGATGGGATTTAAGGATGCTACACGAAGTAGAAAAACATAATGCAAGCACACGAGCATATAAAATCTCGATAACGGGTTAGAGTTAAAAGAAAAGCCACCAAGTTCTTTAGATAACCTTTATTCCAAAACAATAAAAAAGAAGTGAGAATGGGGCTTGTCCAATAGAATCCTATCAAAGCATTAGTCTTAAAATTATTTTGGAGTTAACAAAAAAAAAGGAGGCAAATGAAGAAGGGAGGGGGAGGGGGAAAAGTTAGTCATAAATTAGTATCGAATCGGCTTGGACATATAAAATATTTAGGAAAAAGGAACATTGAATCCCATCCAACAAAAAGCAACATAGAGATTAAGGAACAAAATGCTAGAATTTCATTGAATGAACCAACATTATAGAAAAGAGGCTTTATAGGTCTAATTACAAGGCAAACACAATAAAATAAAATAAAATATAAATCTATCTAGAAAGTTATGATTTCCTCCGAGTCTTTTCCAAACTTTTACACTAAAATTTACCCACTAGGATAAGAAAGGTAACCAAATACCCTCTTATAAGAGATGAAGAAAGAGCTAGTTGAACAAGCTTTAGTGTTGTTTTATAAGAGAAGAAGAAAATGCCAACTCAATGAGCTCTTAGGCTATTGGAGGCTCATTCATAAGAAAAGAGAATGAAGCTTGACCCTTACTAGGAGAAGCACCAAAATTCTATCCTAAGGTCGCTAGATAGGCTACCTTTCTCAGGTAGCATCCTTCTCCATTGTCATTACCACCTACCTTTAAACCACTTCTAATTTTTGAGCCTTAATCGCTCTTCTCTTGGTAAGAGCATTCACTAAAGACCCTCTCATATCCTTTAGCCTCTTCACCATCTCTGCGAAGAGGAACCATATCTTCTCATCCTTCTTTTGAATGCCTCTAGAAGAGATTTAAAGCCTCGAATGTTTCCTACTCCTCGGCTTTCCACTTATGGAGAACTTTGCCATACATTTAAAACAAAACCTATAAAAGTAGCAAGAAGAAGTTAAAAAAAAAAACAACAACAATGTTTAAGGATCACGCCATAATAAGCTCCATAAGAAACATTCTCCATACGAGGCATAATAAGTTCCATAAGAAACTAGTTCGGCTTGTTCTCTTTTTGGCCAACTACAAAATAAAAAGAAGAGATTGTCAACAACTAAGAAATAATAATAATAATAATAAATAAATAAATAAATAATCATGCAAGGTCAAAAATTAAAGTGAAGTCTAACTATTTACCCACCAAGCTACGAATTAACAATCACCCCCGAGCCAATAGGTTAACACTATATTTCCTCTCTTTGCTCGTCACCAAATCCCAAAGCGACCTAAAAAAAGCACTTTTAGCGTATGTTTAAAGAAAGAAGGTATCAAGACTATCTCGAGGCGACCTCTATGGGGGTAGACACCTTTAAATACCCTAACTAATTCCTTTAGGTGTGTTTTCTTTATAGCTAATAATGAACCATTACTCCTTCAAATTGCCAACCAATTCGGACACCGATATGAAGACCCTCATCAATGGACTTGTGCCTTTAGCCAAAAAAGTGTACAAATGAACTCTTTTTACCTCTTCACTAGCTCCATTAATTAGGCGAGTGAGAAAACCTAAAGAGCGTGAGGGTTAGAATAGTGCCAAGACTTTGAAAAAAATTATCAAAGAAGGAAAGAATGGTCCACCCATTTGGGTGAATTTGATACATGCTCAAACCACAATATTTAAGGACTTCACCATAAAACCCGATAGAAAGAAAGTGTGCCCATACTCCAATATGCACGTGGAAATAACTATATCTAAGTTCTCTCAATTATACCAAAGGGTTTCTTGGTCCTCCTATCATTCTAATAAGATAAAATTAGAAAAAAAAATCATCCCTCAACAAATGATTGTAAGTAGGAAGCCTTTTACGAAAAACATTATTAGGTCTTCCCACATTGAACAAGGACATGAATTAGGACCCACTTTGAATAGAAAAATTTTAGCCATACTAGAGCTTGTAACTCCTCTCAAACTTTCGCTGGACACGACCTCGGAAGAACTCCTAACTCTCTCCGAATCACTTATACTATTTAAGAAAGAGAAAAATAAAGATGGAAAAAGGGTTTACTTACTAAAGCGCATATTTGAAAAGGGAAAAGCCTTTTTGACCAAACACTCAATTCATATATGGTGTCTCCAAACTAGATGAGAAAAAATTTGATGAAAAAGGATATCGAGAGAGAATTTCTATAAAGAACTCGATACGTGTTAAGAAAATTTGGTAAAGATCTCTTAAAAATAAAACTTAGAACTCATAGAAGTGAAGGTAAAAAGTCTTATAGAAAGGTGTATATATATGTATATAGCCAATAAGCATGTTTTCCCATAATCAAGACATGCTAGATCCAAGTGGTGGCCTTATATTGACGTGGAATAACTCAATACGATAGTGGTTTGGGTGTGCAAATCATGAATGATGACAATCATTACCTTTTAAGAAATACCGATTGATGTAACTCCTCACGATAGTAGTCTTGCCTCGCATAGAAATGATTACTCTTATTTAAAACAACATTGATCTCGAAGTGCCGAGCACTAAGATGCATATCACCAATTAACTTAATCAAAGCAAGACTAACAAAAAGAGTGACGATAGTTCCCTCCAATAGCAAGAAGCCTTTCTCCAAGGGTTCGAGCTAACATTTTTAATCTATGCTAAGCACATTAACCAAGACTCGAAGAGACTATTGATCGGCTCGGGTGACATATGTCACCTCTTTATCTTTTTATAGAAGACCTAAAGAGCAAACGCCTTGCTTAGCCTATCTTACACAAGGTCGTAAAGGACTAGCCATCCCTTTAAGTATAGTGATGAAGCCCCCACAATATAGAGTACCCATTATGAACAAGAAAGAGTCCATATCACTACCCT